TGGAGACTGCGAAGCAGAAAGAGAGAGAGCGATACTCTCTCTACAAAGCTTCCTTGGCAGCAGAAGGAGAAAGTGACAGACCCAGTACCAGCAAAAGGTGCAGATCTAATAACACATCTCCTGAAGAAACACAACGCCCGCAGTCCAAAAAGCCAAAAGCCACTCAACAAACATCTACCTCTACCGGAAACCAGCTAAAACCGACTCCATCTTACAGGGATGTAGCCAATGCTTGCAAAGTGGCTATCGCCCATGAGAAATATCCGGAGGTGAATCTCACTGGTGACCAAATGGAGTTGATAAAATCGAAGCTCCTGGAAGAAATTGACAAACTTCCCAAACACAATAGTGTCTACGGCTTCATCACCAGTGTTAACAGAGACGGATGGCTCTCATTAACATGCTGCAATGGTGAAACGAGGAACTGGCTGACCACCTGTGTCCCAAAACTCAAACCATTCCCGGATGCTATTCTCAAAGTGTTTCATGGCGAAGAGATGCCCAAAACCTATGTGTGCATCACATTTATTCCCCCCTCTGCTGTGCTACCACCAGAAATTCTGATGTCCCGCTTGGAAAAACAAAATGGTGGCATTTGCACATCATCGTGGAGAATTCTCAGGACTGAGAAAGATAAGAATGGTGGGGAAACCGTTACGATCTCGGTGGACGAAAAATCCAAAAATTGGATAGTCGGTCAGGCAGGGAAGCTGTATCTGAACTTCACACAAATTCAAGTACGTGTGAAGGGAGAGCCAACTGGACCCAAGAAACTGACGACTAAAAGGCCATTTACGACGGAGAAACCCAGTGACGTCAAGCAACAAAGGCCTCCATCCAAAAGGCCGCTTTCAGGTGATAGACCCAGTACCTCAAAAGCACAGGCAGATAAGCCAAGTGAGACGGTTAAGGTCACACGGGACAGCACACGAACTGAAGTCGGACCCATCACCTCAAAACAGCAAGGTGGCACACCGGTATCTAGCATAAAGGACCAGAAGCAAGGGCCAAAGAAACCAGCTTTAAGATCCCCTCGACAGGAAGCACCCACTCATGGAACAAAATTGCCCAAATGGATGCGGAACGGTAAAGGACGATACCAATAAAATGATGAGGTGCCTGCAGGTTAATCTTCAACACGCCAAAGCTGCTACGGCGGTGTTGACACAGCGACTTCTATCTGAAAAGATTGACATAGCCTTTATCCAGGAGCCATATGTATATGAGAACCAGATAAAGGGAATAAAAGGTAAGCTACGATCATGCCAGCCATGGTCGACCTCGTGCTTGTATTGTGGTAAGAGATGACATTAATGCTTTCATTATTCCACAGCACACCAACAAGGACCAGGTAGCAGCTATAATTTCCGTGGACACCCCAGTAAGTAAGACAGAGCTCATTGTCTGCTCATCTTACCTACCTGGAGACTCCCAAGACCTGGACTTCCTATCACTGAAAGGACTAGTAGACTACAGTGTTAAAAGCAAGAGGCAACTCATCGTTAGAAGTGACGCTAATGCACACCACACGATCTGGGGCAGCACCGACATCAATAAAAGAGGTGAGTGTCTATTTGAATTTATAACTGGTAACAACCTATATATTTTGAATACGGGCAATAAGACCACTTTTATAAACAGAATCAGGGAAGAGGTATTAGACATCACCCTAGCTACACAATTTATAAAACATTTTATCAAAAACTGGAATGTTTCAGCAGAAACATCCATGTCTAATCATCGTCAGATAAGATTTGATATTGATCTAAATATGAAAGTAAGGGAATCGTATAGGGTGCCTAGGGCCACAGAATAGGATCTTTATACTGACGAACTCAAGGCCAATCTAGGCAGTAATAAGCATACGATAAACAATATTCATGATTTAGAAATAGCTGATGCTGCCTTAAGCACAACTATTATAAATGCCTACCATGGGGCCTGTCCGGTGAAAAAAGACCGGCAACAGAAGTGCACCATGGTGGAATAAAAAGTTAGCCAAGCTAAGAGTCGAATCCCGGAGACTCTTCAACAAGGCAAAAAGCAACGGTGAATGGGACAATTATAAAAATGCCCTCACCGCCTACAATAAAGAAATTAGAAGGGCAAAAAGAGAATCATGGAGAGGCTTTTGCTCAGAGATTCAAAACTTAAGCAGTAGCGCAAAAATCCACAGAGTTATCTCGAAAAGCCACACTAATCCCATTGGGCTTCTAAAACGACCTGATGATCTTTATACCAATGACTGCAAAGAGTCACTTATACTTCTAACAGAAGTACACTTTCCGGGATCTACAATTTACGACCAATCAATCTCCCAGCTTAGTTCCCTGGTAACCAAAAGGCCCAGAAACAATGACTGGAAGATTGCTCGTAAAATCTTCACTGAAGATAAAATTAAATGGGCGATCAACTCATTTTCTCCTTTCAAAGCCCCTGGAGCAGACGGAATATTTCCAGCACTCCTACAAAAGGGACTAATTCACCTTATGCCCCACCTCATTAATATCTTTAGAGCTGGGCTGGCGATGGGAATCATTCCCACTAATTGGAAGTAAGCAATTGTCAAATACATACCTAAAGGAGGAGGTAAACCTAGCGAACTTCCTAAATCCCATAGGCCTATAAATTTGACTACATTTCTTTTAAAAACTATGGAGAAGATAGTGGAAAGGCATATAAGGGAAGAGTATTTATCTATAAATCCACTCCACGCCAACCAGTACGCCTACCAACAAAATAAATCCACCACACATGCATTACTCAGTCTTACTAATAAAATACAGGAGTCTGTAGATTGCAAAGAATTTGCGGTGGGATGCTTTCTTGATATTGAGGGAGCGTTTGACAATACTGATCACTCACATATCGAAAGATGCCTCCATGACAGAGGAGTAGATGATACGACACACACATGGATAAGCAATGTACTAAGAAATAGAATGATTAAATCCACTCTCGGCAATGCCGAAATAAAAGCACATACTGTAAAAGGATGCCCACAAGGGGGTGTATTATCCCCACTCCTGTGGTCAATTGCAGTAGACAAGCTCTTGCATCGACTCAGTGCCAAACATTTCGAGGCACAAGGCTATGCTGACGATATAGTCATACTTGTCAGGGGTAAATATGAAGACATGATCTCATATCGACTCCAGCAAGCCCTGAACATCGTTAGTAGATGGTGCAGTGAAGTAGGATTAAATGTAAATCCTAAGAAAACAAGTCTGGTAGTCTTCACAAAGAAAAGGAAAAGAGTACTTTCCAATTACCCATTCCTAAATGGAGAAGAGCTATCATCCGTTACCCAAGTAAAATACCTGGGAATGATTCTGGATGAGAAGTTGACGTGGAATTCTCATGTAGACAATGTTATACGAAGAGCCAGAGAGGCATTATGGACCAGCAAAAACCTCATTGGTAAGCACTGGGGCCTTAATCCAAAACTCAGCCTTTGGATGTACACATCTATTGCCAAACCAATTGTAACTTATGGGTCAGCTATCTGGTACAAAAAAGCACAACAGAAGACTGTAATAGATAAACTTCGTAAGCTGCAGAGATTAGCCTGCATAATGACAAGTGGAGCGATGAGAACCACCCCGACAGCAGCCCTAGAGGTTGCATTGGGGCTCCCCCACTTCACCTACTAGTCAAAAAGGAAGCAATGACTCTTATGGCCAAGCTACAGTTGACTAGCAATCAATCAACAAGACTACTCGATAACTCCCTGTTAGGTAGGGAAATGCAAAGAGAGGAAGGACTAAGTATCACCATATCTGACATTTGCTTACCTAAATTCAACTTTCACCAAAAGTTCCTAATACTAATACCAGACAGAAATGAATGGGAACGGAACATACCTCCATTCGCTGAAGACTACCATCTGTGGTACACGGATGGCTCCAAAACGATGGAAGGAGTGGGGGCGGGAGTATATGGAGTAAGACCTAAAGAGGAAATATTTGCAAGTATGAGTAAAGAAAACTCAGTTTTTCAGGTTGAAGTACATGCAATTGAATTATGTCTCAGGGTATATAAAGGTAAACCCGTCACAGGAAAAAACATATATATCTTTTCTGACAGTAAATCGGCACTCGTGGCACTACTCTCACCTCGAGTAACCTCAAAAATAGTGTGGGAATGCCTTCTACTTCTCAAAGACCTTGCTGAAAGGAACAGAGTCCACTTAATATGGATTCCAGGGCACAGCGGTTTTGAGGGAAACGAAAAAGCAGATGAACTAGCGAGAAAAGGGGCGGCCTCATACTATATTGGGCCACAACCATTCCGCGGTCCTTCGTGGAGCTTTTTCAAACTTAAAACTAATGAATGGCTGGAGAGAGCAGCTCAGAATGATTGGGATAATACAATTACCTGCAGACAAGCAAAAGAATTCATGCCGTTTCGATCAAAAGCCAGAACTAGGGAGCTACTTATGCTGAACAGAAGTGGCATCCGACTTGTCACAGGTTTTCTAACTGGACACTGCGGAGTTAAAAAACATTTATTGAATCTATGTATTACTGGAGACGATAGCTGTAGACTTTGCTACGAAGAAGAGGAAACAGCAGAACACATATTGTGTCACTGTGATAGTCTTGCAAGACTCAGACTTCGCTACTTATCCATTGCCTATCCGCTTATAACGGAGTTAGGCAACATCTCTCCAAAGGACATACTGGCATTCTTAACTGTTACTCGTCTATGGAACTGAAGTGGGTATGTCACAATAATCCTCGAGGATGCGGTGACGCGGAGACTGCTTCCCAAACCTTCTTTTAAAACAAAAAAAAAAAAAAAATGGATCCGGCGTTGTATCGTACTTCTGGACAGATGCCGCTTTACTTGAAATTTAAACTGGCGTTACAGAGCATCAATCTATT